AATAACGACATCTTTTCTCGTTAAAACGACATCTTTTCTCGTTAAAACGACATATTTTCTCGTAATGACATCTTTTCTCGTTAAAACGACATATTTTGTCATAAAAACGACATGTTTTCTCGTTATTATAGATAGGCTATATGGTAGGATAGGTGAGCGAGCTAAGCGACTCGCGCTGCTGTAGCCACAGTCTGACATAAACGAGGATCTGCATGCTGCTGAAATGATTGAAATACACTTTTAAATGTATTTTAATGTAATGGTTTTAATTGTAGCGGCATGTTTATTAGGATTAATCTCCAATCTGTCTACAATATAGTGCTATCCAATAACTGTACTCAGACCCATGACTCGTTTAGGCTATGATCAGATCAAAACAGTCATTTTTGAATAATCGACTCTGGGCTTAATATTTCATAACGATTGATCTTAGCACTTAAGAGCGTTTTCTACGAGTCATTTTATGATCGTTTGTTATTGTTTCAAGTGCGTTTCCCAAAAATTCACTTAACGCAGTCGCGCGTAGCCGTGCTTTAAGTGCTACTTAGGAGTCACTCTCCATTTGTCAAGTGCTGAAATGTCACCTTATAGAATGGCTCGTAATTGTAGTACACGCGCGTTTATTGAAATGTTAACCTAATGCTGCGTTCCAGACAACGTTATTTCCGGGTCCAATACATTGGTTTTCGTGCTCGTCAGTAAGTCATTGACAGATCCCCCCACCCCCCCAGTCTTTGAAGTATATTTAAATTACTTCTTTTATTCATTTTTTTTGTTCAGTCATTTAATTTAGATGTGTATTTCTATTTTTTCTGCCCTTTTTAAATATTTCATTTATAAATTCATAAAAAAACGAGTAATAAAGTACAATCAAAACTTTATATTGTAATCACATTGCACTTGAATAAAGTTAAAGGTGTAATCTGCAGATTGTCCTGCAGGTGACCATATCTGTCTTCTTACGATGCACTTAGGGCTTTACGATTACTCCAGAGCACTCGTAGATCTACCATGAT